ATCGTTTTAAAATGTGGCAGAAAACTTAGAATTTGTGAAATGGTTTTCTCATTTATTGTCGTCTATTGCCAAGTATTGTCTTCTAGTAGAAGAGAAAACCTTGAATATCAGAATTTGTGTTCTCATTTATTGTATTCTGGTGAGGGAAAAACCTAGAATTTAAGAATTCGTATTGTTATGTATTGTCATTTATTGTCTTGTACTCGGAAAGAAACTGAAAATTTAGAAATTTGCATTGGGTATAAGTGTATGTGTGGCTGTAGAGGGTGGGTGTGGATGTGGGTATATATCAGATCACACCCACATATTAAAGCATCGTTTCTGCATCGTATTTTGAGCAACATTTTTGAATAACTGCCTCTTTTTTCATTTTTTTTTATTATCTAGTTGAAACATTCTAACGCTGAAATGTAGAAACCATTCATTTCGACAACAGGTTGTCATGCAAGAGCTGCTTGAAATTCACACATTGCATGTAATATTGAACACATTATGCATTTCTTTTGAGACACTATCCAAAGTAGTCTGCAAAGCAAATAGGTTGAATCAGAGTTTTTTAAACGCAAACATCGACGAAAAGATATATCCAAGAAATCATCAAACAGCATATCCAACCTTATTTTTTTTTATTTTTCATTAAAAGAATAATAAATCGATAATTTGTAAGAACGATGCACTTATGTTCAATGTCGAACCGGTTTTCTGCACTGATTGTATATGTTTATGATTGAGCTCTAGTTGACATCAATGAAGAGGTGAACCCGAATAAGCGAATAATATTCCACGAAAAAAGAACAAAATTGAACCAGAAATAACATTGAAAATCAACTGTGCAAAAAGCAACTGGTAAAATAAAATAGAACACCGATAAGGGCTAGTTACGGATGCAGAAATTTGAGCAGTTGTTTGTAATTTTTTTATATCAGAAATAGCGGCAAGCATAGACAACATATTCATCATGGATGGACACAGGTAAACTACCAGCATATGGAATCCATTTTTTAAAGGAAAAGCCTTTTCCGATATAGCTTTGTAACAATAACAGATAATCATTAGAACAAGATAATATATCTGAATAGAAAGAACAGCCTTTGTAACATTAAGAGAGGTTTCAGGTAGTGGGCATTTGAAGCAAAAAATAACTAGGACAATGTGTATTATAACGAGCAAGATGAGTAACCCAAGCCACACAAGTCCATGCCATTTTTGATGGCATATCTCTGTGCGAAGCAGATTTTGAGAACATTTTTCAGCGCACGATAAAGTCTGAGCTGTTGGTGCTGGTTCAAACTGGAGTCGAGGTCTTGCTAAAGATGGAATAATCGAATCAGCATACAGCGAAGTAGAGTGAATAGTGTAACTAGGCCATCTAGTTCATGTCTGGCTACGGTGGAATATTCAGGAGGTGAATCCGAAGAGATGTTAGAATAACTTGGAGGTGAAGACGATAGCGCTTGTGTCTCATCAGCCATTTCTTACTAAAACAGAAAAAATTCTTTCGAAAATCAATAGTTGATTTTTTTTCTTTACAATAACAACATATATGTCACATGTTTTCATTTTAGTTACACCCCTTTGAAAAGTAAGAGAAAGTATGACTCATTGACTGCATCAAATCACTGAACAAGATTTTTTTTCAAGCAAACAAAGATTTTTAAAATATTGCTTATGGCGAGTCAAAGGCAGGGGCAGTGTCGCACCATTACGTAAAAGAACATAAAAAATTAAAGAAAGTTCTGAATGCAAAGACAAAATGCAGAAAACGATTATTCTCCTCACCGAAAACTAGGTCGATCATCAGCGGTGTTATATTTGATCTCGTCAAGTTTTCGATCATCTCATTGACGAGCAAGTCATCAAACAAAAACTATACGAATGCCAATGAGAGTGTTCCTCAAAACGAACAATAAATAGCATAAAAACTTCATATTGTATGCATTAACTCAGTTGTCAATCGCATTGCTGGTTTCAAGATAGTTCGTACTTATAATGCTATTGAAACAAAACCGCTGCATTGTTGGACAACAAACAACTTTTCAATAATGTTCTTAATGCTTAATGTATATTAAATTAAAGAGAAATTCACTATATATACCAAATGTCGATATTGAGTTTGATTTCTATCATTGTAAATATCGATGTCAGTGGAATGCTGATGCAGCTGCGGCTATAATCTATATTGATACATATATACTGGCATGCGTACTCATCCACGCTCGCACTCCAAGATTAGATGATAACATATAGAGAGCACTAGTACGTGATAGTACAT